ATACGCCCACATTTTGAAAGAGATGGGCAGAAAACAAGCTAAAAAAATACAACTTTTGGTACAATCTGGGGCCATAATCCAGGTCGTTACGGATATGCACGGATATCGAAAGAAACTAAGATCTTTTGGATATAAACATTTACTTTAAGTTCTATCAAGATCGGATAAAAAAATTGTGACCTCTAAAGGATCCACAAACTAAAAACACGATTTTTTGTACAATCAAGGGCCATAATCCAGAAAGTTACGGTCCGATGCGCATATATCGAAAACAACCAATATCTTTGCGTTATAAACATGCATTTTAAGTTTCATCAAAATCGGATAAAATTGTGACTTCTAGAGGGTTCACAACCTCGGCATTGCATACTTTTACACTATTTGCGTAGAAGGAGCGGCCATTTTGTCCGGCAGTTTTCGGATTTTTACGAAGTTCGAACTCAACCTTCATTGGGGTGTGACGGTGATATGTTTAAATGATTTTCAAAATTGAATACAAATTGTGACTTCTAGAGAGTCCACAGTCTAAAAACGTGATTTTGCGAAAAGTCAGAGGTCATAATACAGGACGTTATGTTCCGATATGCACGATTATCGAAAGGAACCGAGATGTTTGGGGTATAAAAATAAATTTAAAGTTTCGTAAAATCGGATAAACATTGTGACCTCAAGAGATACGACAACATACTTTTATGCTAGGTGCGTAAGACGTGTGGCCATTTTGTCCGGCAGTTTCGGTCCAATATTTCGGTCATTATGGTGTAACGGTGATATATTCGAACGTGTTTTTTTTTTCAAATTGGACAAAAATTGGGTGTTCTAGAGGGACCACAAGCCAGAAACACGATTTTTCTTACAACCAGGGGCCATAATCCAGGATGTTACAATCCGATATGCGCGAATATCGAAATGAACCAAGATCTTTCGGTTATAAACATACATTTCAAGTGTCATCAAAATCAGATGAAAATTGTGACATCTGGAGTATCCCCAACCTTGACATTACATACTTTTATACTATTTCCTACATAGAGCGACCCGACCATTTTGTTCGGCAGTTTTGACCCGAGTTTGACTACATACGAACTCAACCGTCATCATGGTGTAACAGTGACATATTGGAAAGGTTTTTTTTTTAAATCAGATAAAAATTAAAACCTCTAGGGGGACCAAACGCTAAAAACACGATTATTCGTACAATCAGGGACCATAATTCGGGAAGTTGCGGTTCGTTATGCTCGAATATCAAAAGGGACCAAGATCTTTAGGTTATAAACATAGGTTTGAAGTTTCATCTAAATCGAATAAAAATTGTGAGCTCTAGAGTGTCCAAGAGCTAAAAACGTGATTTTACGTAAAATCAGGAGTCATAATCCATGAAATTTCGATCCAATACATGCAAATATCGAAAGGAACCGAGATCTTTTGAGATAAACCTGTATTTCAAGTTTCGTCAAATTCGGATAAAAATTGTAACCTGTAAAGTGTCCACAAACAAATTGTGGACGGACGGACAGGGCCGACGACAATATACGTCCACATAAAAATGTGGGTATATAAAAACGAGAGATGTTTAACTGGTCCTAGAAAATAAATTTATGCTTTTAGGCTTCGAAGCAGGACACATAAGGTGATTTATTTTTATAATCTGGAATGTTTTGGTAGAGAAGTACGGGTGTTATAAACGAACCGTAGTAGGCGTTCTGTTTACGTCGAAGTTTTGCTTATTCTACTAACTCGTAAGAAGTCAATACATCTTTTATAGAGTTTGAATTCATTTCCGAATATTGTCCGTGATTTTGGCAAAAATAAAACAAATAGCCCGTGATCACATCTAAAACTACAATTTTCATAGGATTTTTAACTGCTCAATTTAATCGATAAATGACACATTTTTCAGTGATCACTATGCTATTCATTTTATTATTCCATGTGATCCAGCAGAGCAGCGGCTCACGATATAACAGAATCATGTTTGTGTACATTTTCACTTTCAACATCTGATCTAAATGAACTGCTCCATATATAAAATCCACGATATTTTATGAACATGCACCCGTCATCAAGAGAAACATCGCGATTAAACCACAGGATCCTTGGTTTAATGACAAAATCAGGATGCCAGAAAAAGAAGACACAAGGAAGAAAGAACATGGCGACGGACCCAATTAACAGTCCATAAAATATATTTAAGGCCGAGTGTAATCAAAAAATGTTAGTAATTGGAACCAAGCAACAACTCCGTAAAATTGATCAAACGCTAGTTAATTTTGATAAAGAAATAATTTCAGGAACCCACAAAGCTCGACATATATCACATACAAAGTATTTGCTCCACTGCCTTCTATCACATAATTTGGTACTATTAAATGATAGCTAAGATTGCAAATATTAAATCAGACCTATGTACCTTTTGCAAAAAAGAAACAGAATCATATATACATCTATATTACAGCTGTGAACATGCACATGTATATTGGAAAAAATCAGGAACCTGGATTAAACTAATGGCAAACAGTGATTTTGATATCACCTTAACAACATACTCATTTGGCACTGATACAGTTGATAATGAAATTCCAAATTTGATATATAGTTTAGCTAAGTTACACATTATATAAACAAAGGCTTAGACAAAATAAACCAATTTTGAATGTATTTAAAGAAGAATTATTATACTACTTTGAAAAAGAACAAATTAACACAGTGACAAAGTACAAGACAGATGGAAAAATTTTGAAGGTCTTTTCATTTGTGTTTTTCCCTGTTAACCGTCCTCGTTTAGTAAGGTTTGTTGGGTTTTTTTACTTTGTAGTATAATTCGTAGTAAATAATATACAGTAATTTTTGTCAATAATACAATTGTCTATTTTCAACACATTGTAATTGTAATTGTCATTTTGTTCAATGTATAAAAAATATTATTGAAAAAAAAGAAGAAAAAAAAGTGGGTTTAAAACAAATTAGTTTAAACAATATTTCATTCAATAAACTGAACTGGATTGAACAGGCAAAGGCCCATATAAGTTCTCTCCAAACATATAAAACAGTTATATCTTATGTTTACAATAGACAATGGTGGACATATATATAGACAGTGAGTTACAAACATATATACATTTCTTGGAGTCTAATCGTAGGGTATTACATTTTCATTTTAGATTATGAAATTTATATAAGATAAAAAGTATTGCATATTGTAATTAAAATATTAAATGTTAAAGTGTTAAAATCTCTTGCTATATTTAATGTTAAATATGTTAAAATTGGTATCATCTGAAAGGTCGGGGTTGCCATATAAGATTAGGTTAATTGTAACATTTTGTTTGAGGTGGTGTAAATTATTTTGGAGAATTGTTCCTCCCACGGCTAAAGACCACTCGCGCAAGCGAATTATTGAAAGAAAATTAAACCATATGTTAGTCCCAAAATGACCCAGTTTGTGTCGAGTGGACGTTAAACCCCATTTCTCTCTCTTTCTTTCGTAAAGTAATATTTTGCGTTCACATGTAAAAGCGGAGCAATCAAACATATAATTATTTTATTCAGTTTGAAGAGTTTGCGTGCCTTTTTATACAGCTGTGATTTTCTATGTGGGGGGTTGGATGGCCGAGTGGTTAGCACGCGCGGGGTTTCGATTCCCCGGTTGTGCGTGACAAGGAGTAGGGTCGCCTGTCCAACCTCGTGGGTTTTCTCCGGGTCCTCCGGTTTCCTTCCACTGCTAAAGACCACTACGCGCAAGCGAATGATTGAAATAAAATTGAACCATGTGTTAGTCCCGAAATGACCTAGTTTGTGTCGAGTGGACGTTATTCCCCATCTCTCTCTCTACTTTCTCTCTCTCTCTCTCACTCTCTCTTTAGCTGATAAACATAACAATTATATTTCTATGGTAATCTTTATTACGAGATCCAACTCTATGCGTACGACCTATTTGGTTAATTGTTAAATGGTCATCTCGATCATTTAAAACATGGTTATTTATAATATCCAGTATGGGGTTATCTGTATTTTCACCAGCTCTCTCACTGATACCACTGAATTTAAGACATGTTCGTCTAGAATATTGTTCAAGGTGATGAATTTTATTTTCTAAATGGTCGATGCGACTAACTAAATCTTGAGTTAGTTTTGGTTGGATTAAGTGAACAATATGGCTCATTATGACTTAACGTTTAATTAATTCACCAATAAATGGCCGTAACGACCCATCATCTTTTAGAACATTATCTAGAAAATCGTTTATACTGTTGGAATCATTTGGATTTGAATTTGAAGCCATCTCCCCTCTTGATCGTTTTGGTTGTCTTGATTTCGGCATTAGTATTTTATATGTAACTTATACACCAGTCTAGCCTTGTAAAAATAAGCTGAGTGAACTCGGGTGAACTGTTTTCCCAGATATTATACAGACGATTTATAAGTCAACGAAATGTTTCCCTTTTTGCATATTTTTGTCACAGTTAACACATGAAAAGTTAATTTAGTACATATTCAATTTACTCAGAAAGTTTTGATAGATCATCTGAAATATAACACTGTTTAAACTGAAGGAGATTAACTCGCTTCCTCAACACGTCCACCTCAGCCGGGCATCTTGTATAACAATAAAAAAAAAACACAAAAAAAATTAACGCGCTTTATAAATGACGAATTATTCGTAGTGATTTAACTAAATTGAAATTACCGCCGGCAGTATAGTCCTTGCCATTAACCGTTTTCCAATGCTGGGGATTGTGAAAGAAATGATTTTTAATGAAATGGGGTTTAACATACTACTGTTCTGCTCCGACTGGGTTGATTATGACAGATGGTTTACTTGTTTCGTATGTGAGATAAAGCACAAGATAAGACTGAGATAATCGTGTAGCACAGTGACCCCAATGTATAGCGTCATGATTTTATGATTTTAACATATAACCAAAAGATATAATGGCGCGGTCCGGAACGGCGACGTTATTTCTGCTTATTGTGGGAAGCATTTTGTGCTTGACTATTGCTCAGAATATTTTGAAAGATGGCGATTTTGAAAACAATAATTATCCTTCCAATAATTGGCATTGCACTGGCAATTGTAAAATTGAGCCAACAAAATCTGATAAAGTCAGTGGTGTCCAGTCTGTCAAAATAACAGGCAGGTAAGTAAGAGGGTGTTCAGTCGGAATCAGTGAACATCATAGGAATCGTTTGTAAATTCGTTAAAGGTACATAATATATCATTGTTGTTATGGTCTTGGTTTTATGTTCATTGAACTGTTGATTATTCAACCTAAAATTTAGTAAATAGTATGTGGAGACAAGAACCAGTTTCTTTATTTGACATATGACACAAAGCATTACATGCCTTTTTAGGACACAGTTTTGGGAAGGAGCTAGTCAACAGGTACCATTTGAAAGAAACACAAGATACCATTTAGTATTCTTTGTCAAACAGTTGAATAGAATAGCCGGCAAAGTTTTACAATTATTTAAAGTCAACGTTGGGTTTCAAATAAATGGAGGTGAGTTTCTCAAAACTGAACAGCAACGCATGAATATAAATTCACGCACCTAAAATGTTGAAGGGGCCATTAGCGATATATTCGGGTCAGCAAAACTATTTTCACTTGACGGGTTATGGGAAACCGCCACAACACCTCCACATAACAATATAAACCTTTAAAATACAGATGTGACGCCACCCTTTGATGTTGGCATATCATTATTCCAAATAATGTACTGGCAATTCACCAATTGTACATTATCTATACTGGATAAAATATCGAACTCTCGTTAAGTATTTCATTGAAATGCACACATGACGGGTTATGAGAAACCACCACAACACCCTCACATAACGATATGAACCTTTGAAATACAGATGTGACACCACCCTTTGATGTTGGCATACCATTATTTCAAATAATGTACATTATCTATACTGGATGAAATATCGAACTCGCGTGACGTATTTCATTGAAATGTACACACGTGCGGGGTAGTGTTTGTATTTTAAGTCGTTTAATGGTCTCGAGCTTAAGACATTGCGTTATATATTGAAACAACACTCGAGCTAACGTCCTCGTGGAGTATCAATATATTAAATAATGTACTGGCAATTCACCAATTGTACATTATCTATACTGGATAAAATATCGAACTCTCGTTAAGTATTTCATTGAAATGCACACATGACGGGTTATGAGAATCCACCACAACACCCTCACATAACGATATGAACCTTTGAAATACAGATGTGACACCACCCTTTGATGTTGGCATACCATTATTTCAAATAATGTACATTATCTATACTGGATGAAATATCGAACTCGCGTGACGTATTTCATTGAAATGTACACACGTGCGGGGTAGTGTTTGTATTTTAAGTCGTTTAATGGTCTCGAGCTTAAGACATTGCGTTATATATTGAAACAACACTCGAGCTAACGTCCTCGTGGAGTATCAATATATTAATTAAAGCTGAACTCCGATGCAGAAAATTATTTGGTGTTTCTACTTTTTTGTGCAAAACAATTCACAAAATAAGAAGAATTGAATGGCGTTGGCATAGTTATTGTTTGGGGTAAGATAGTTTGTCTCTTACTTTTTAGCCCAAAAGTACATCATGGTTGGCTTAATTCATCTAATTAGTAAAATAATATGTACCTGATTAGACATAATAATTGTGTAGCAATAATATTTTCAGTAAGCTGATAGTGACAAAAATACCCTCAACGAGTCGAGCGTGTGGCTGTTGAAATATAGCAAGGCGGGTGTGCGCACTGTGCTTGACAAGGATATACTGGATGTGCGTTCAATCCTAGAGTTTTACGTCCACTTGCACCAAGAGTGATATTGTGAGCGTGGTCTGTCTGTCTTCTTATACCCGTCATCAATCGCCATGTTTGTTCTACAAAATGGAAAACAAGTATGGCGACTGCTTTCTTTTTTTTTGGGGGGGGGAAGGGCCTTTTATTCATTTATTTTCATAGTTTTGTTATCGGAGTTCAGCTTTAATGTCTCGCGCTTGACCATTTAACCACACTTATTGTGAAGCCTGATTTCATGCTTGATTGGGGACAAGTGTTTCCGCAGAAGCTACGTATATTTTGAAAGGCATAAAATAAGGTCAGATTAAATATATATTATTTTAGAGCCCGGAAAACTGTCCTGATAGAACAATGAAAGCAACATCGTAACACCACGTGCTTCCAATCGCGCAGTTACGCTAACTGATGATCGGTATCTGGCACCGAAATAAGGGGATTAACTGTGGAATAGACGTCAAATCAATTTTGTTTTGCTTTGTAAATATACGTATTTAGAACCAAATGGGTTTTTTTCTTCTTATTTCAATTTTAAGCTAACACAATGTATCCGGATTTGGTTAATGATGGAAATGTTCACCAAGGAAGAGGGTGGGTTAAGTTAGAAGCCTACATCCAAACACCTGATGTATGTGAGTATTGATTTCCAGAATCTTGCCATTGAACTAAGTAAACTTATAAGTATTAAAATAAAGGGCAGATCTGAAGCAGGGAGAACTACGGCGTCCCACTCCTTTAAACAAAATAAAGTGTAGACGAAAAAGCACGAAATATTAAATAAAGTGCAATTATCCCTTTACTAGTGAGATTTTGGCAAACTAGAACCCGCCCACCTACATATACCAATAAGTACCATAACCCCTTTCCTGTATGGTTTTGGTGGTCTACTGTATGGTGACACGGTGCAAAAGCCAACAAGAATTTATCCTCGCACGATGTGCAAGAACATCGGCATTTTGGGTGTTACTCGCCCAAACAGTTGGGCACAATACTGGGCATAATATCATTTCCTAGAACATCACACATTTACTTCGAAAGCTCTTATGAGCAAAATATCATATTCACACGTACTTTTGTATTTAAATAGGTTTGCTGTTAATTCTGAAAACGGTGCGTAGATAAAGCTCTATATCTGTACTCTTTCTGGAAAATTTCACTTCATTTATTTGGGAAGGTCACATAGCTTAAACGTTACTTTGAACATTTGTTTTATTATGTACCATTTAATATCTAAAATAATATTCGGAATTTCAGCTTTTGTAAAATCAAGTATAGTTATACAAGGTGGAGATGCTGGTATAGAATATCTAGTTGATAATGGTCGCATTGAAAAAGTAAACGAAGACAAAAAGTGGAAAGCTGAGGCGAATGAACGAATCGATAGGATAAGAAAAAACAACATTAATTTCAGGTACCGTATTCTAGTAATACGATGTACTACTAATTGAAAACAAATGTGTGACCGAGAGGTCTGTCAGATATTATAAGCGTCTAGAACGGTTCTTTAAATCTGTAATACTTGAAACTTAAAATGATAACTTTTCAACATCCAATATTAACATTATGAGATCCCGCGAGATTGCATCATGCCAGCACACTTACTGGACATCGGATAAAAAACTAGTAACTTATGCTACTTACATTCCATCCTTGGGTAGTCGCTTTTTAATCAAACACGCACATGCAAACTTATGCTTGAAATAATAGAATAGTCATTGTCCTGAGAGTTCAAATGAATACAGAATTCAATTTGGAGGCTTTCGCCTATTCCAAATAAAACTGTTTTCTAATTACGTTGCTGTTCTTAAGTTTTTAGACGACTATTGAAAGCGCGCGACCAGTCTTTTCAATGTGTTAGTTTCACATTGCAGATTGGTCAGTCGGTTATTGTGATTTTGTTTTTCACACGCTTTTTCAGAGTTACCGTACCATCTAATACCAACCCACAGGACTACAGAATTCAGGTATGTACCATGTCTATAAATTATAATAATCCATGCCAACATAATGGCTGCATAAAGGGAGACAACTTCCTCCAAGATGAATTATGTCCGTACTGAAATGTTTTCTTAAAGTTAAGATAAAATAATAACCAATTGCACTTTATTTAATATTTTGGTGCTTTTTCGTCAACACTTCATTATGTTTAAGGGAGTGGGATACCATGGCCCCCTCCTGCTTCAGATCCGCCCTTTATTTTAATACTTATATTACTTGAATTATTTGTGCATTCTAACTTTAAAGGACAATATTGATGTCAGTCATTATCACATATTTGATAGAACTAATTAAACACGTTCCAAATATAATTTTAACACAGAGATCATTGCTACGATAGCTGAGTAATACAGGTTTCAAAGACCAAAAGTTGTTGTGTGAGACAGTGAGAGGATATCTGACAATTCATAAAAAGAATTGACTGCCACTAGATAAGAGAACACGAAAGAAAAACAGAAAAAGTCCGTGCATTACCATGTTTTTATAAGGTATAGAATGAATATAAACAAGGGAATGTACGGACTATTTCTATTTTTCTCGTGTTCTCTTATCTAATGACATTCAATTACTTTATTGAATTGTCAGGTATCCTCTTACAGTCCCATATAACAACTTTTGGTCTTGGAAGGAATTATTAGTGAGCAGAAATTCGGCCGTGTATCTGATATCACTTGTCACATCAGTCAGTTATATAGAGGTATGACTCGTGTTTCCTTTGGCGTTCGTCACTTCCGATTCAGGAAACCTGTATTACTCAGCTATCGTAGCAATGACCTCTGTGTTAAAAGTATATTTGGAATGTGTTTAACCAGCTCTATCACATAAGTCCCAGAAATTCCTAAATGCAAAAGGCAAAACTACTGTAATGGGTTGATGTGTGTACAAAGTTTCAAAAAGATATATTGAACGGTTTATGCTCCGGACACAAAATTATACACCAAAAAAAAACTAAGTCAAATTTGTTTCCATGGAAACACAAAAAATATAACTCCCAGGAATTCCTAAATGGCAAAAGGCACAACTACTATAATAGGTTAATGTCTGTACAAAGTTTCATGAAGATATCTTGAATGGTTTATGAGATATGCTCTGGAAACAAAATTGTACACTAAAAACTAAGTCAAATTTGTTTCCTTGGAAACACAAAAAAATATAAATCCCAGAAATTCCTAAATAGCAAAAGACACAACTACTGTAATAGGTTGATGTGTTTACAAAGTTCCAGAAAGATATCTTGAACTGTTTATGAGATATTCTCCGGAAACAAAATCGGGACAGCAGGACGGGCGGACGGGCCCCATTTCAATATCCCTCCCTAACTTCGTTCGGCTCCGGATAATAAAAAAAAACTCTCACAAATCAACGTACTGTACTATCATTTATATTCATAATGTATTCATGTGTTAAAATAATATACTATTTCAAATTTTAATAGAGTAAGTGCATTAATATTTAGAACCTATTTATATCCATAAAGAGTAATAACCGCAGAAGGTATATAATTATTTCTTAGAATATCTAAATGACGCATCGCTGTTTCTTAACAGTGATAGCTCAGATTTTAATAGAGTAGTTACATTATTACTTAGAACCTATTTATATCCATAAAGGGTCCGCAGAAGGTATATAATTATTTCTTAGAATCTCTAAATGGCGCATCCCTGTTCCTTAACAGTGATATGTCAGATTTTAATAGAGTAGTTGCATTGATGCTTAGAACCTATTTATATCCATAAAGGGTAATTATCCGCAGAAGGTATATCTCTTAGAATCTCTAAATGACGCATCCCAGTTCTGGGTTGTTATTAAACACAAAGCAAACCAAACTATTCTCATATTACTTCGAATTTATGGGTGGGCTACTTCCAAACTGAATTTATCAAATGTGTTATAGAGACATTCTGCATATATATACTATTCAAAAAAAGTAGGGGATATTTGATTTTGGGGGCATAATACTAAAATATGCAAATGACTACGAAAAAAGTCACTATAGAACCTAACAGTAGAAACATTTCCAGTTACATGTGACGCCCAAACGCTATACATCCATTAAATCTGCTTTTTCGTGATTCAAGTCTGAATATCGAAGAAGGAGTAACTCGTTTTTCGACATTCGAAACAGGGAGAAAGAGCATTTTTTATACGAATCCACTGATTTAGAGATAAATCCATTAAATCTGTTTTTTCATGATTCAAGTTTGAATATCGAAACAAAAAAACGAGTAGCTCATTTTTCGAATTCGCCGATATAAAAAAAAAACAAGGAGAAAGTGCAGTTTTTATGGGAATTCACTGCTCAGGCATCCTCTGTTATGATATCTTTAGTTAGTTTTATTAGAATTTTGAGATTTAAGTCTGAATATCGATAAGAGATATAAGTTCCAACCTAATATACTATTCTGATATCATACCGTATCACCCAATAATATATTCTACAGTAGATATCGCTTGTTTGATATATTTCATAATCTACTGCGATACATGAATTTGATTGGTCAGTTGAAAAGGAACTACTTTTTTTATTTTCAAAGAACAGTTCATTTCTTATTAAAAGTAACTTTTTTAAAATTAAAAATGAACTATTGTTATTCAATTGACCTTGATGGAAACACTGGGTCAATATAAAGGACTATGCAATGGTTGAATTGCTGTCAAAAAATGATGTATCACTACGCCATAATGTTCAGTAAAAGTGAAATCTACAGCAAAGAATTATATTTATCTATTTGTGCATGTAAGAAGGGATTGGGTGATAAATAAAATCTCCTACTCGTCTTTTTTGATATAAAAAAATATCAACACTCGTTGATAAAGTAAAAATAAAACTCGGCAGAGCCTCATTTTTTGTTACTTTATCAACTTGTGTTGATATTTTTTGATATCAAAAAAGACTGGTAGGAGATTCTCTATATGTATAGACGAGTTCAGTGATCAAACACATGATTAATAAGCAATTGAAAACATTTAAAACAACAAAAATGTAATTAATACTACTTTAGGTTGTTGTAGTGTTTATCTAAATGTTCAGTTTCTTTGGTGCTACTCTTATTCGAGTCGGGGATCACGTGGCTAAGTGGGTAAGACACTAGCTCGCTAGCCTGGAGGTCGGGTGTTCGATCCCTGCATTGGCCGAGAAAGTTCATCCAGATTTTCCGGCGTGGTTCTCCCTTGCAGTGATGCAGGACGGAGGGGCTGACAAGGAAAGATGTCTAGTCGTTCGGATGGGACGAAAAACTGAGGTCCCGTGTACACATTGGCGTGCACGTAAAAGATCCCTTGGCAGTTGGAATTCGATATAAGAGTAGGCCGTAGTGCCGCTGTCCGGGCAAAGTTTCCCTCATAGCACACTGTATGGCGTATGCCCGTCTTCATTAGCCCAGGTAAGGAGCAGAACAGTAGGACGTTAAACTCCATTTCATTTCATTTCTGATTCGAGTCGGATATCGTCTTGGCACGGAACAGCTAGCACTTGAATGATTCATCATTATATTTTGATTCATTTGACTGATTTGGCACACTTTATAAATCATTATTTGAACTTTTTGGTACATTTATTTCAACATTCCTATCAGTGGTAGGAATTTGCACATTAGAAATACTGATATTTATATTGGGATTAGCTGTTTTGGGCACTACAGCTATAGATATATCATTTGGATCATTCTCATATGAAACACAATCATCACTAATCACACGAATTGTCCAAAATTTGTTCTACGTGTCTCCGAATTCTATTTCCGTCGGCGGTACGTATTTTATATGAAACTGGTCCGGTTGATTTCTCAGCTTCCTTATGAACGAGCTAAAACAGGATGTCCATCGTCGAATGATCTATGGGTTGTCGAACTTCTGAGATGGTTTGACGTTTTGCTTTGTGCTGGGTTTAGGCAAATCAAGTCTACATTTCACATCTGACCTCTCATTAGTATTGAAGGTGTGGCGCCTGTTGTAGCGTGTATTGTATTTCTATATGAGAGTAATGGTTAGCGCGTGCGCGCTGTGTCATAAGGTCTCACTGGGTCAGCTGGCGTGGTTTCGATTCATGGGTTTTCTCCGGGTCCTCTTGTTTCCGCCCACTGCTAAAGACCTCATACGCGCAAACGAATTATTGAAATAAAATTGAACCATGTTAGTCCTTAAATGACCTAGTTCGTGTCGAGTGGACGTTTAACTCAATTTTCCAGACTTTAGACTGTGTTTTATACCTCTGCTAGTCTATTAGTAGCTGGTGATACGGTGCAGAAGACGTATGATGGATTCCGTTTGATTTCGTGAACGCACTAAATTCTTCTGAAGCAATCTGTGGTCCATTGTCTGAAAATACCTAATCAGGTATACCGTTTCTCGTAGTACTGCAATGGTTTTTGAAGATGTTGTCGTGTCCATGATTTTAACTTCGGGCCACTTTAAGTGTGCGTCTGGTACTATTGAAAACTACTAAAAACATTTTAGGTTGGAATGGACCTGCGAAATCTATATGTATACGTTGCCATGGTGATTTAGGCCATGACCAAGGGTGCAGAGCAGGGGCGGATCCAGGGATTTTTGCAGAAGGGGGTTTGCCAGGCTCCTGTTAAGAAAATTTAACAGTTGACAATGCATGACGCCATCATCGTCTCTAAATTCCGAAAGCATACATAAACATAGAGCTTTTAAAAGAGAAAAATCCAACACTCCGTTTGATGTCAATTTTTATAATGAATTAATAGGATCACATTGTGATTTAATGTCTATATCATTATTTCGCGCTTTGAATGCCCACCCCACCATCTGATGTTAAAGGATAAAGCACACGGCCTTTACACTTTTCTCATAGAGTGTTTTTTTCTTTCTTTACAATTCATTTATGCAGCTGTGCAGGGTGGTGTTTGGACACCCCCCCCCTCCCGCTCTGAATCCGCCCCGCTCTGAATCCCCGGCTGTACGTGACAAGGAGTAGGGTCGTCTGTCCAACCTCGTGGGTTTTCTCCGGGTCCTCCGGTTTCCTCCCACTGCTAAAGATCCCTACGCGCAAGCGAATTATTGAAATAAAAGTAAACCATATGTTAGTCCCGAAATGACCTAGTTTGTGTCGAGTGGACGTTAAAACCCATTTCTCTCTTCTCTCTCTCTCTCTCTCTCTTGATAAACAATCCGCATTCATGGTTGAACCGTACTTTATTAACTGAAGAGTTACATAGGTGAGTCGATACGTAACAGTAGCCAATACAATAGAGACATTTCGCTACATATAATAATACAATGGGATGTTTCGTATATGATTAAAATCTTCGCCAATATATAAAAAAACAAAGAGAAATAGCAGTTTTATGTGAATCCACTGCTCGGGCATCCTCGTTTATGATATCTTTAGTTCGTTTTGGAAAATAATTTAATCAAATGTGTTTTGGAGACATTCTGTAGATATACATCCATCAGATCTGCTTTTTTAAGATTCAAGTCTGAATATCGAAAGACGAATAGCTCGTTTTTCGGCATTCGGCAATATAAAAAAACAAGGAGGAAGTGCAATTTTTATGCTGATCCACTACCCAGGTATCATCATTTATGATATCTTTAGTTCTTTTTAGAAAACGTAGCTCGTTTTTCGACATTCGCCAATATAAAAAAAACAAGGAGAAAGTGCAGTGTGAATCCACCGCTCAGGTATCCTTATTTATGATATTTATAGTTCGTTTTAGAAAACTTATTTAATCAAATGTGTTTTGGAGACATTTTGTAGATATTTATCCATCAAATCTGCCTTTCTGAGATTCATGTCTGAATATCGAAAAAAAGAGTAACTCGTTTTTCGACATTGGCCAATATCAATAAACAAGGAGAAAGTGCAATTTTTATGTGAATCCACTGTCCAGGCATCCTTATTTATAATATCTTTATTTCGTTTGAGAAAACTTATTTAATCAAATATGTTTTGGAGACATTCTGTAGATATACATCCATCAAATCTGCTTTTTTGAGATTTAAGTTTGAATATCGAAAAATGAGTAGCTCGCTTTTCGACATTCACCAAAATCAAAAACCGGGCTAGTTGCTTTTCGTTATTCTCCAATATCGATAAACGAAAATCTGCACACTGCCAACAATTATGGGGGTATATATCCTTGTTAAATTGTATGGGTTAGTGGTATACATCTGTGCTAAACAGCAGATTGAAGGATTTGTAGGAATGCCAAGACAAAATTGAAGAAGCGCAGACAGTCTACCCTAGTGGGAATTCGACAACAAACCACATATTAACTTTTTAGGAGTTAGCATAGTTGTATTTATCCAAACAACGTGGTAGAATACACAATCTGTACCTTGACTTTTCAAAGGCATTCGATCTTTGGAACAGAGGAAAATTCACGGATGTCTTGTTTGATAAAGGTGTCTGTGCTGTGGGAAAATGCATCATGTATTGAGCAATATGTACAAATCAATCTCATCAGCTGTAAAATGTATAATTAGACTGTGAAAAAACTGGATCACACTGAAATAGAACAAAAGTATGGGAATGAATGTCTAAGTTCGTCATAAGCTCCTGAACAAGAGTGATCGTTGATGCAAGGGAAACCATAAATATATTAATTCAATAAACTGGAAATCATGAAAGATAAAACCTATTGTTAGACTATAAACCCGGGCGAGGGAAATCGTAAATATTTTAATTTAATGAATTGAAAGTCAATAAATGTGAAAAATATTATCAGACTGTAAAACTGCATAAGTACTGAAAACCAGGATATGTAAAATGTATAACTAGACTGTAAAACTTGATAAGCACTGAACGGTATTAATTCTGCATGCTGAAAATAGTGATATGAAACCTGTTAATAAACCTGGACGAGCGAAATCGTAAATATACTCTTCAAATACCTATGCAGGTTGTGATATGATAAATAGTCACGGACATGTGAAATGCTTTGAGAGCAGAGGCGGATCCAAGGGCCCCCCCCCCCAATTTTGGACAGTGCCCCTTTTTACTGCTGAAAGTGCCTTTTCTCAGACCCAAATATGCCCGTTCCCAACCCTTTGCAGGGATCCCAAATGACTCCAATCATCGACTCAAACACAACAGTCTGGTCTAATTAATGCTTCCACTGGTCTAATTAATGCTTCCACTTTCAAACGAATTCTTGCTGTTTAGCTGACGGTGCCCTAATCCTATACAGTGACTATAGACAGACATCAATGATAGCATCTTGTGGAATCGACGGCGTATACACTCATGCCCATCACCGACGCGCATGAGTGCAACTTGATGTAGCATTGTTTCATGTGCGAACAGTACACAGTACAAGTTACAAGGCTTTAATAGTGAAGTGGCTAGGGAATAGATTCGTCTTTTTTCCCATCATAATGCCTCGCTCGCCTTGACAATTTTCGATTCGCATGTTCAACTGGCTTTTTTGCTCGATTTAAGGATCTTTTTCAACGATATCGACCTTGTTTTGTTTTTTCTTTTAAGATTAAGCTTAATAAGCACGCCTTCCCATTTGGTTCCATGATCAAGACGGACCATGTTTTAGAAGATAAATACGCTCGTCATAGAAGTCTTTATTATTATATGTTTAATTGGGCAACATTAGCTAGCTACTATTGGAAGTGGTCAGACGGCCCATGGGTAAGTAATTTGCTAGATCTTGGATTTTTTTATCAGGATGGCAACCGAAAGGGGGCAGTATTACTGTCTGATTTATTGAAGGGCTTTATTTCCTACAAATAATTATTATTACTATAACTTTCACTCAGAAATGCAACCATACAACCATAGTCTACCTCTATGATAAGAAACGTCTTGTTTCATTTTGGTTTGGATGGGGTTGGGTGTTTTATATTATAATCTATTTTTCAGTTTTTTACACGCCTATATTTCAGCATGGGCGTATTATGTCACAGCCCCGTCCCGTCGGTCCGTCCGTCAACAATTAGCTTCTGGATGGAACAGTTACTATGGTTTTTAATGTGTTCTTCCTTCATATTTGGTGGAAAGTATTGGGGTCACCTGAAGGCAACCTCTATCGATTTACAGCCTTTTAAGACTTTCCATTACGGACATATTCCCCCTTTCCCGAATACAATGTGAACGCTGTAGTATTTTGTTCAAATTGGTGTGAAGCTTTGGGATACTCGGGACATAGATATTTGGTTTATAACTTGCATACAAGCACAGTCTAAATAATCATATTCAGTTTAATTTATATGGAATCATGATAAATACTTCTCAAAATTCTCGAGCTATACTTTAAAAGTATAGAGACTACGATCTTTAATGGATTTGATTCGTGAGGACAAAGACTAAAAATATTCAGAATCCTTATCAAATTTGAGCAACAGCCAAGTATTCTATTCGTATGGTCTGTTGTCGAGATCTAGACATCGCTGCATAATTTTCACGTTTCAGCTGGTTATCTTTTAATAATGTCAATGTCGGTGGTAGTTATATATATTAAAGTTGCACTATGTAAGAGCTAAATCTGCAAACTGCATATCTTTGTTTTGTCCTCAGTTGTTATATAAACCATTGATTATACATTTATTCACACGCCAAGCCCATAATAAACTCTCTAGACATCGGATAATTCTGATTTTTAACATATTAAAACACAGTCGTCAGTTATTAATTTGATTAAAAATTGGATAATCGAGACTTTGTTCATTATCGCAACAACGGTTGCAATGACAATCGAGGCTGTCCTTGAAATGCCATAAACCCGCTCAGAACGAAGTAATTTGACTGAAATTTTCAATATATTCCCTTTTCATTATGTATCTTAAACTGCCAGCTTTGTATCGAAATCTTATATCATGCATCATTAAAGATGCATAATATATTTGAATAAAGAGCTAGCCGTTCTTGCTATAATAGTTCCAAAATAGATAATTCAAAATTAATATATTGAAAATTTCATTGAAATTATTTTTTTCTGAGCGAAGTTATCATTGAAGTTTTGACATAGATTGTTTATTATCGTAGCAACGTTACTTTTTAATCGTATTTTAACCCGTTTGTATCTGTGCCATCCGATATTCTAGATAGTTGATTGTAGGCTTGCCATGTGAATACATGTCTTAATAATAATATATTTAACATGTAAAGTCAAAATAAAAACTCCTAATAAGCAGATTTAGCTTTAAAATGATGCATATTTCAATAGAAATAAAAGAGCCCCCTTAATTAATGTATTATGCATTTGAGCGTCTTACGTGGTTCGAAGTAGGCGGTAATTATATGTGTTAAGTAGAATGTTGGTATTTGATAATTGACCTGACGTGGGCATTAGTTTCACCGTTAATTAATGTTACACAAATACTTTTACACAAATAAATATTTTCCGGCAAACTGTTTATTTTACAATTTCTGTTTTAGAAATAAAACAATTCCCCTGATTAATGTCTTATGAACCGTATGCACATATATTGCGAGCGAAATGGTTCATACCGCCATTATATCTTTATTTGTTTTTCAAATCTATACAATCATAAAAGGTGTGTTGTGCTTTTTAATTCATGTTATTTAGTTTCTCCTACAATATACCCCCTTTACACCATTTCCCCTTAACTGTTTTTTTACAATATCAATTTCAGAAATAAAACAGCTCCCTTATTTAAAGTCTAGTGCATCGTATGTATATTGGAGATAGATTTTTCATACTTAAAACAAATATACCATCATGCTTATATCTATATTTCTTTATTTCTGGTTTCCAAATGTAGAGTCGTGACAGAAGAAACAAATCGTGAACGTGAGAGAGGAAAAACGATTTGCAAAGTGGCAAGAGGTCTATAGATGAGAGATTGATATGCTTTTCACGAAAGCACAGCATTATTTCAAAACTTTCAGGGTCCGCCACGATCCCATGTGCTCCGCGACCGCGACTAGAGTCGTGACACAGGGGTTGGGAAACCAGGCTTTAGAGGGCGATGTCCTTTCAAAAATGGTAAAATTTTATTGGAAGACTAATACTATTTTTGGATTTTGGGTTTCTATTTTAAGGATCACCCGGAATATACTACCAACCAAGCTGCGATCAACGAATTAAAGAAACGTCGGTTTGTAGTATTTCTTAAAATTGCGCAATGGTGATAAAATGCCTAGAGAAAAAATGTCTACATTCTCCAAACTATGAAATGAACTGTCACCATTACTTAGTATAAGCAAACAAATAAAACGTTATGTAATTTATTAGATAATTAAAGAAAATAAGTATGACCTGTAGCAGCATTTTGTCCTTTTCACGGATTCTCCGTATGAAATATTTATAGTGTGAATAACAACAGTAAGATATGGCAGGTGATTAACAAGTTTAGTGTACTTTCTGTCAATATATAACTTTTAAAAAAAAATATCTACTTGTATATATATTACAGTATTCCGGTCAGAGGTCATAATATATTTTGGGGTAATGGCAAATATTTACCTGACGAAGTCATGAAATTATCCACAACAGAATTAAAACATGCCGTTGATGAAAGAATACGTTATGTTGTTGCTGCTACTAAAGGATAGTAAGTCAAGTTGACTAGATTTTCTCTATGTTGGGTATAATCACTCTTTGGGAATACATGGCTAAAAACAAGATTATAAGTATAGTCAGGGGCAATAATCCAGGAAGTTACTGCCTGATACGTGCCAAAATAGAATCCATCCGAGATCACTGTCATATTAACACAGGGGTAATTATCCAGGAAGTGACTGTCCGATACATGCCGATATGGAACCCACCCAAAATCATTGGGATGTAAGCATATATTTTAAGTTTCATCAACATAGGATAACAATAATAATCACCTTTCGAGGGCCCAGAAGCTAAAACGCGACTATTCATCAATCAGCGGCAATAATCCAGGGAGTGACGGCACAATAGGTACCAAAATCGAACCCATCTGAGATCTTTGTGAAATTAACATATAGTTTTAGTTTTATCAAAATTTGTGAACGACCGCGCAGACAGGCGGGGTCGACAACAATCGTATAGGCCCCGTCACTGAAAACTCGTTAGCAGGCATAAAAAACTAATAACGTTCAGTAGGATTACTCGATTTAAATTATTTTTATGTCAACTTGTTGTGTCTTCGTATAACTTTACTTCTGGAATTTCATTTAATATTATTTTAAGTTTGAATAATTAGACCATGTAAGCAGGAAATGAACATGTGCGGCCATGTTTTTCCATTAAATATACCTACTTCATGCCTAGGCCCGATTGTGATATGCAATCGATGGAAATTGATGAGCCTGTTTTCCCGACAATGCAAACTTTGAAATTTTTAGCAGTTCCCCCAAGCCCGCCGATGGACCCACGTGACTCGCGATGCCCTGGTGTTTCCCCGAGGCAAAAATGCACAGAGGGACCTAGGCACCACTCCCAGGTTACATTTTGATTAAATTTAAAAATATAACAAAGGTGTTTTCTCTATTACCAACAAAAGTACACCCGCAATGTCTTGTGCTAATTTTAGTTGTTAGATGGGTATGTTAATAATTGTTTACTACATTCTTGATCTTTTAGTGTGGAGCACTGGGATGTCAATAACGAAATGTTACACAACCATTACTTTGAGGAGAAAACAGGAGATCCGTATTATAGTCATCATATGTATTCTTATTTACATCAATTGGATCCCAAAGTGAAATTGTTTTTAAACGATTTCAGTGTCATCGCCGATGGCCAATATGTATCTGTAAGTTTGTTGTATAATATACTATTCAAAAAAAGTAGGGGATATTTGATTTTTAAGTGTTATTAAAGTCACCTAATGAAACTGACGAAGAAACAAATGACAAAATGAAATGAAGTTCACATTCATCGATTTATTCCAAATGATCGTTAGACTAAGTAAGGCACAGACTGACCATTATAAGGGTAAAATGATAGCCGGGGTCAAACAGCAAAGTTACCACAGCATCACAACCAAGTCAGTAACGGGTAAATCCTCCTCTGTTTGCCAAACAAGCATTGATCCGACGTGGCATACTCCTAATGAGACGTCTAAGGTCATTTTGGTCCAGATTGTCCCATTCCTGTTGCAACGCAGCAGCAAGTTCTTGGACATTGGTAGGACGTTGTTGACGTTGACGTAACCTCTGTCCAAGCATGTCCCAGACATGCTCGATGGGGGAGAGGTCGGGACTCAGTGCTGGCCAAGGTAATGTGGTTGTCATCCTGGAAGATGAAACGGCGGCCATGACGTCGTGCGAACGGCACAACATGGACTGCCAAGATGTTGTCCCGGTAGTACTGGCCTGTAACACGCCCTGCAACAACATGTAAAGCCATTCTTCCAGCAACAATGATGCCTCCCCACACCATAACAGAACCACCCCCAAATCGATCATGTCTGATGACGTTAACGTCTTGGAAGCGCTCGTTTCGACGACGCCACACCCTCCTACGTCTGTCCAAAAAATCAACAGTGAACCTTGACTCATCTGAAAACATCACATTGCTCCAGCGTCGATTATCCCAGTGTTGACGATCCCTACACCAACGACGTCTTGCCTGAATGTGATGATCTCTCAAACAAGGGATCACGCGAGGACGTCGGGCGCGAAGGTGACCCCTATGCAGTCGATTCCGAATCGTCTGGCCACTCACTCTCACACCAGTGTCTGTTTGAAGACGAGCGCTGATCTGATTTGCTGTGATGACACGATTTCTCAAGGCCAAGGTACGGATAAATCGATCCTGGGCTTGAGTTGTCGCCCTTGGTCGACCTGAGCGTGGTCTGTCCTGTACAGATTGTGTATCACGGTATCTGGACCATAGCCTGCTTATGACAGACTGAGAAACATTCATCGTCCGCGCCACAACCGCCTGTGTTGTGCCGATCTGTAGCATGCCAAGGGCACGTAACCTTTCATTTTGGGTAAGCCGACGCATATCAAAATTTGTTTTCTGGTCACTAAAACAATTAAACTGATGTTTCCACCCTGGAATTCAATGCCACAATGACTGTAACATTCAAAGTCAGAGTCGTGCAAATCTTGGGTTGGACCCCCATGATGACCCCAAGCATCACCTGCATTCCATGCGGTAGCTATTGGTGCGTTTGGGCGTCACATGTAACTGGAAATGTTTCTTCTGTTAGGTTCTATAGTGACTTTTTTCGTAGTCATTTGCATATTTTAGTATTATGCCCCCAAAATCAAATATCCCCTACTTTTTTTGAATAGTATATATCTGCCGTAAACTAGGTATTTGTATTAATTAAATTGAAAATGGTGTTTAAAGGGAAAAAAAACTTTCTGATTGAGTACTGAATTTGTTGATCAGATGTGTATTTTCGATTAGTGACGGGGAAGTTGAAGGTTAAGTTTCAAAAGATTTAGCGGGAGTCGGCTTTTTAGTTTTAATTTTAGTTTGCTATGTCAACGATAAAATGTCAACAATGACTTATCCTTAACGTAATATTGTTTACGAAGATGCATTGGCATCCAGCAAAACAAAAATCCAACAAAATGGATACCTTTTCCCCACCGTACTCATCCAGTTTATACAATGAGTTATTCAGAAAAATAAGGATTTATTTCTGGTCGTGAGGTCGTGTTTGCAGAACCCACAAAGAAATTTTGCAATTGAACAAAACTGAACATAAGTTAGTTATTAGTTTCACATATTAAAACTGATGTAATAAACACAAATGTTTTAGGGTTGCATAAGCAGATGGCGTTTTACAAAATGTACATTAGGCAGTCCCGCGACAAACATTTCAACACTTATGCTACCAAATCTATAAATATATGACGAGCATAATAAGCATACACCGAAATCGTGCCATTTATCAATGTACTATCAGACTCAGTTGCTTGTTTTTAGTATGAAATTAGTCAAATAAAATTGTCTTCTCAGTTTATTGACGAAGGTGGTTCTCGGTTATCGAGAGTATTTGAGAGTGATGGGGTAGGGATGTATTTTGAATTCATCATATCTTTGTAAATTCTGAACGAAATTGAATCATTTTTTAACTGGCCATAATTATTCCTTCAAATGATTCCTAAAAATAATATTGCAGATCAGAGTATTTAATTAAACATGTTCCCGGTTAAAATCAATACGGCTTATTCTCCCACTGTCCCAATATCGCGTTCATAACGTTTTCGGAAAACAGATGTACATGCTTCACACCAAATTTGTAATAAATCCGTTAAAATAAACTGTAGCTTATCAGAAAATGGGAGCAAATGAGTGCCACAAAAATCGAACACATGCAAGATCGAGGCATCCTTAACATATATTTCGTGTAAAGGGTAAACCGAGAAGAAATTGTGCCTTACAAGGATCCGCATCCTTGGTATGTAGTATTTCCGTAAAGGGGATATAAATATACATTTTAAGTTCCATCAAAATCGTATGAAAAATGAACACATAAGAAAAAGAATCATTTCTAATAACTGCCCGAACAAATAATGCTTTTACCCTGCAGGCATATGTAAATCAAGCCAATGAATACAGAAAAGCTAATGTAGGTGTGTATGGCGTAGGTGTCCAGTGCCACTTTCCTGAAAATCATCCACCAGATCCAACTCTTATTAAAGTAAGAAATTCAATATTCATTACATGCTATAACTTGCTTTTCGGGAAAAATTAAGGATCGGTACGTTTTGCTTTTCGGGAAAAATTAAGGATCGGTACGTTTGGCTACAACATGTATATATATACATGTACTAGTTTAGCACACAACACAACCCATAGCTAGTTGTCATTTTTCTAAATTCTGAAATACATCTACTTAATTTTTGTCGTTTGCATAAGATACCTGAACTTTAATTTAGTTTATATTGCCCCTTAGTCATTAGTATAGCCCCTTTATCACAGGATTGGTACGTATTGATACCGGCAAGGTGCGTAGTCAAGCTCTAAGAAAGAGGCACCATAACACATACCGAATAATTTCAAATTCATTATTTTATTTATCTGGTATTTACTTCATTTCGTGTTTTATGCGTGTATCGTTTGGATTCCGTACTCAGTTCTATAAATCCAGGGATCCACGGTGGATCAGTGATTAAGACGTTGGCTCTCTAAGGTCCCGTGGTGGATACCGGCATGAGCCGTGAAAGTTCATCGAGAATTTCCAGTATAGTTCCCTCTTGTCAGTGGTCAAAACGTATAGTCGTTAGAATGGGACGAAAACCCGCGGTCCCGTGTACACATTGGTGTGCGCCGCTGTCCTGCCAAAATTTGACTTATCGCACACTGTATGGCGTATGTCCGTCTTCATTATCCCAGTCGGAGCAGAACAGTATGACGCTAAACCCCCGTTTTATTTCTTTTCTATAAATTTATTAAGGGATACCATTATAATTATGTTGATGTGCCTTTGAAATATTAATAAATGTCGTAATAGAAACGCCTGGATCAGTTGTCTGCGTCTGGATACCCTGTTTGGGTCACAGAATTGGATGTTGTTGTTGCTGATGAGAATACAAGAGCCCAGTGGTATGATAATGCTCTAAGAGTCTTGTTCAGTCATCCAACTGTTGAAGGTATCATATTGTGGGATTTTTATGGCCCAGAACATTGGAGGGGTAAAAATGCGGGTTTAGTTAGTGATCAGGATTATCGGGTGAGTTTTGACAGTAATATTCTCATATTAATTAAAAGCTTAAACTGGTGATGTTACTAAAAGAATACCAGGGCGTTTGCAATGTTACATGGTATCGATATTATGCTCTTAACAACATCAGGGGTTGAACTGAAACTGCTTTAAACAGAAACCAGCTTACTTGTACGCAAGGAGCGGCAAATTTGTCGGAAGTTTTGTTTCAATTTTCCCGAAATTCGAATTCAACATTCATTATGGTGAAACGGTGATATATTTAAACGGTTGTTAAAATCTGATACAAATTGTGTCCTCTAATGAATCCTGGAGCTAACAAGGTGGTTTTTCGTAGAATCAGGGGAGTTATGATCTGATATGTGCAAATATCCAAAGGAACTGAGATCTTTCAGATAAATAAACATATATTTTAAGTTTTATCAAACTCGGACAAAACTTGTGACCTCTAGTCGTTCCACAACCTTGGTATACTTTTACACAATTTGCGTACAAGAACCGGTTATTTTGACGACCAGTTACGGTCGTCTGATTTTTACGAAACTTCATTATCACCAGGTTGTAACGATTATATATTTAAATGATTTTTAAAATCGGATAAAAACTGTAACCTCTAGAGGGTCAACAAATTAAAATCGTGATTTTTTCGTACAATCAGGAAGTTACGGTCCGTTATGCACAATCGAGATCTTTGGTCAAAACTGGATAAAAATTGTGACCTCTAGAGGGTCAACAAATTAAAATCGCGATTTTTTCGTACAATCAGGAAGTTACGGTCCGTTATGCACAATCGAGATCTTTGGTCAAAACTGGATAAAAATTGTGACCTCTAGATGGCCCACAACCTTGATATTACATACTTTAACACTATTTGCGTACAGGGAGCGGTCATTTTGTCCGGCAGTTTCGGTCTGATTTTCACGAAATTCAAATTAACCATTATAATGGTGTAACAGTGATATATTTAAACGTTTTCTTTTTAAATCGGATACAAATTGTGATCTCTAGAGGAACCACCCGCTAAAAACGTATTTTATTTTGTATTCATAATCCATAAACATATATTTTAAATTCATCAAAATCGAATAAAAATTATTACCTCTAGAGGGTCCACAAGCTAAAACCGTGATTTTTCCTACACCCAATTGCCATCCATGAAATTACGATCCGATCTCGGTCCACATAAAAATCTGGGCGAATAAAAACTGGATTTTCATTATCGGTCTAATAGGTTAAAGACACCTTCCCGCGTACAAACTGGGTGATTTGATGATATATTTGGACTAAAAACATATTCAAACTAATAAATCTACCAAAATTATGCTTCAAATCCTTCTCAAAACATTGTATTCGAGAGGAAATACACCAAGCTTGGGGAAAGTATCTTTAAATACCACGTACATATATACATGTGTTTAGAAAAATACAGAATCACCCAGATGCTCACTTCCAAAGCAGTCATTTTCCCACAGACGTGCAAGGTTCAGGTGTGATGTTTGTCTTCTTATTATATTCGTATTAAAAAGTTGTGTGTTTTACAGTAATTAACTTTGTAACCCAGATTTTAATACAAGGTTATATTTAGATCAATTCCCAAAAGTCTGAATCGAAACTATGTCTAATGAGTTTCGCCGCTATTTATGACCCCAGATTGTGCTAAAAATCGCGCTTGCAGCTTGTGGACCCCTTATGGTCCCAATTTTTGTCCTATTTCAAAAGCCGTTTAAACATATTACCGTTACACCATATTTATGGATGAGTTTGAATTTTTTAAAAATCGGAACGAAACTGTCCGACAAAATGGCCACTGCTTGTGTGCAAATAGAGTATAGGATACTAAGGTCGGCGCATCTTTCGATATGAAATGAATTCTATCAGGTCGGGATTACTTATAAACCAATGTGACAATTTGGAAAGTTAATCCAAACCGGATATATTGGCTGTATTTGCACCCGATTAGATTTTATTACATACTTCGAGAAGGTATTTGTTGAGTAATAAAACCTTCTAGTAGTTTATCGAGGGCTGGCCGTCCTTACCGCAAGGAACAAATATTATCACCACTAGAAGCAACAAATTCCAGAACAAGCCAGAACTCATACCAAAATGGCCGCTTTATACAAATGAGTATTTAGGGGAATACTAACCCTAATGGTTGTGCGATAGCTCAGTGGTAGAGCGCTGGACCGGCAACTGCGAGGCGAATGGGTGCCGTCATGGGTTCGATGCCCGTATGGGTTAGGAAACGTTAGACCCACGGCCCGTGCTTTCTGTGAGGGGATCTGTAAAGAACCCTCACCTCCCGATAACCCTAACCCTTTTAAGAGAAGTAAAAACTAAATTAGACCCAAGTTTAGTCTTTTAAAAAGGGTTAGGGTTCGGGTTAGTTATCCCCAAAATTCTCATTTATTTAAAGCGGCCATTTTGGACCTCGGAAGCACCCGAACCTCGATAAACTACTAGAAGGTTTTATTTGTACCGTGCGGTAAGGACGGCCAGCCCTCGATAAACTACTAGAAGGTTTTATTACTCAACATATACCTTCTCGAAGTATGTAATAAAATATAATCGGGTGGTATTTGAGTGTCATATTTATTTACCGCTTTAGCGCTCTATTATCCAAATTATAATGGGTGTGTAATGATAGTAAAATTCTCTTGGTATAGTTACTTTTGGACGTCGGTGTATTACAAGTCATTTATTTCTCTGAATATTTAAAGGTGAATCCCGCTGGTAAGCATTATATAGATCTGATTTATAAAGAATGGAGTACTCATGTCATACACGATCTAAACAATGGTAAAATATTTAGTGTACGTGGTTTCCATGGTGATTATGAAGTGATGGTCAAATATAAAGGAACTCCTATCAAAGACATAAAATTTACTTTAGGAAAATCAGATAAAACCGTGGATATAACAGTAACAGATATCAATGGTAATTACTTTTTTTGAAAATAAATATATAAATATAGTCGTGGAAATACTAGTTATTCCTGGATCAATGTTATGACAAGTTCAATTCACATTTAAGATATTTGTCTTAAAAACTGGAGAGACCTCGTCCCAAAATGTCGAGCAACTATTATCAGCTCAATGCTTGGTCAAATTAGAGTAGTATTGTCACTTCCTGGTTAGCCGAATCTTGAACTCCTGGACAGTGTGACTGGTTCCTTATAATATAGTTGTTATATTGAGCTCACGAAACAGGATAAATGAAATGAAATGGGTTTAATGATCTACTCCGCCTGGGCTAATGAAGACTGGACGAAGCAGGGTAGATCCTGCTATAGATCTAATTGTTCGAAAAATAACATATATAATAAATGTTATAATAAATGCCTGAAGAGCAACTTCGTTTGTGAAAACGTTAGCACAAATTATGTAGTTTCATTTCGCCAACAATATATAACATATATATATATATATATATATATATATATATATATTATGATCTTTAATGTTTCTTCTAGCACACCCATTCATAGCCACTACACCAGCTCCAAATTTAAATTTAAATGGCAACGGTCAAAATCACAAAATAATACGCACGGGGGATTTCTCTCTTGGAAAAGTTACATCTGCCGATTCAAGTTTCACGTGTAAAACTGTTTGGTCAGGATTTGCAGCTATTGGTGATGACAAATATGCCGAAGTGTCTTGTCCTCATGGATACGTTATGACTGGCTGTACTTCGGAATCAAAGGTTTGGAACATTTGTAGTATGTCTTATTTTACGAACTTTATCGTAAGCCTAAAGTAATTTATCCTTTCAAAACGCTGGACGTCTACCCATAACCATGTATTATTAAAACATCCAAGGAAATTGCTCGTATCGCACGAGTCAATAGGACATAAACAAAAACAAATAATGTTGGCCTCCGAATGAATTATAATACGTTTAAATAGAAGTATCACATTGGTTTGCTGGGTATGGTCGTACCTGTTCGAATTGACCTTTAAGAGTTCGTTAAATTAGTTTACAAATGTCGTCTCTGAGACACAAATTCACTAAGTGTATTATCAAGCCAGACAAATAAGCCAGATAAATTTACTCAATGTAACTTCCAAAATTTACACATTGAAGGACATTTTTTTGTCAACTGTATTTCTATATGATAGCACATTTTTAGGTGCAGTCACTGCAATTGTTTCATCTAAAATCTGGGTAATTATGATTTCTAATAACTTTTCTTGATCAAAAACTCATTTTATTCTAGTCTCCCAGTGACAAAAAAGATGGTGAAACTATAGAAAGCCATGGTAAGATTTGTAGAGCATGGGATGGTTCAGGCTCAACAACACGTAAGATTCCTTACTATATAATTGTGTGTTTTTAATAACTATTCCAAAAGATTTCAATGGGTGTTGATTCTGGGTTCCTCGTGTCTTTGTACATGACTAAAATGATCTGCCACTCGCCGTGACATTTTTCAAAAAATGTCGTTTCGATAAACAGATAGTTGAGCAGCCAATCTGATTAAAATACAGATCTTCATTTGTTTCGTTTATTTATACTTTCGATGGCGTCCACTACATTTCATGTTCAAATTGTCCATAGAACTAATATTGACTGGATGAATCACTGGATCTGATGGCGGTCAAGATTCTGCACTGGTGGATCCTACTTGTGGATTGTACGCAATTGGCCATGTTAGGAGAGGGGGTTGTCAAAGTAGACACTACAACCCTGTCCATGATCTCGCTTTGGGATTTCCTCTAACTGTATCCAGTGGAAGCTTACACTAGTAAGATGCTAGAGTTGACTTAAGAACCCGGGCCTAATAAACATTATGTATATAAAATGACGTCTTTGATCTGTTAGTATCGGTCATATGAAAGGCAACTCCATATCACGATACAGAATGGAGCCTGCTCTAGGACGCTCCTCTGCTCCGGCCAATGAATTCGCCATGTTCCAGTGGCGGCGTGCTTGGCACCAAGCTAGTCGTGTATCCTTATGTTCACGTGGCACGAGGGGTTGTCGTGGTTAGCGCCACATCCAGGCGATTACTCAAAATTATGTAGGATAGGGGTCGGTGAGGGAACCATTCCCTTTTCAACATAGTGCTTGGCGCAAAAGGGTGCCTTCACACGAGCCTCAATAGGGCTGTTGGTGTGTTTGTAATAATCGACTAATGGTCGAGGGATGATGAAATGTTGACTCAAATCTCTTGCAATATGTCGCATTGACATCCCAGCATTCCACATTGTGAAATACAGACAGCGAAAGATTGTTCCCCAGTGCAATGGCTGATTTCCAAACCATGCTTTCCGTGTGCCGGTCTGTTACATGCTCCACTGGCAGATTTCACATGTACGAGGACTGGCTATAAAGTTATAACCCTGAAAAGGATAGATCACTTGGGTTGAAACAAACTTTTGCCACCAACAAGTACCCTCGTTGAATGAATCAAAGACATAAGAACTGCAACTCCGTAGTGTTATTATTGTCTTCGTACCAAATCATCTTGTGAACCTACCCAGTGAAATCACCAGAAATGAACAAAACTAGCTATAGGGCAGGACTCAAGTACCTGCAACTAAAAGGGCAAATCCCAATAAAGAATCATGCCGAAATGTAAGGAAGTGGCCTGCGGAATTTAAGTGTGGCAGAGACAGACTTGAAAGCCATCAACAACAACCATTCAAGAAAACATTTCCCGGGTGCATGGCATTGTGATGGCTGATTTACGATTGATCACTCGGCATATTGACAGTTTTGTGGGCATCTCTGAGTTGGGCACATTATCATCATCGAGTTAATATGACAAGATGGGTGCCAAAGCTCTGGAATGTGGATCAAACATGTGTCAGATTCCTCATAATGTTTTGGCCAGATTAGTAACCATGGATGAGACCTGGGGCCTGTTTCACGAAATTTTAACTAAGATAAAATCCAAATTTTAGTAATTTGATTGGATAATATTAGATTGATTTTAGTGCTTAGCCAATCAAAATTGAAGTATCTATTAAAATTGGATTTTATCTTTAGTAAAAATTTCGAGAAACAGGGCCCTGATTCCAGAAATGAATAGGGAAATAGCCGGTGTCACGTTCCTAGTAATTTTCACCCTGCTCAAGTACATACAAAAAATTGTAAATCAACACTTTATGAGAAAAGTGTAACGGTCGTGTGCTTTATGCTTTATCATCAGATGCCGGGATAAGGCTGGCATTCAAAGCGTGAAATAATGATAAAGACATGAATAATATAACAATGTGGTCCTATTAATTCATTATAAAAATTGACATCAAACGGGGTGTTGGACTCTCTTTGTAATTTAGAGACGATAATGTCATCATGCATTGTCAACTGTCAAAGTTCTTTAACATGGGCCTGGCAAACCTCCTTCTGCAAATATTCCTGGATCCTTCCCTGTACCTGAGATATCAAACTAATTCAAATTCATAAGAAAATATTTAATCAATTCCAACGTTAGACTTCTTTATTTTAGCGGTACAAGCAGCAGCACACTGCTGTAAGAAAACGGGCTTAACTTGTGACTACCATCAATCCCACCCTTCACCATTAGCTTTAAATGCTAGAGTTGAAACACCGTGTCCGGAACATATGTATGCAACAGGTAATGTACTGTATTTTCTTGGCTGTTTTTGTAATTTATATTCCCATATGATCCTGTTAATAAAATAAGAAAAAATGCTAAACAATCTTACAAACATGTATACTTATGGCTCAGTGAGTAAGACGCTGGCTAGATTGTCTGGAGATCTCGGGTTTGCTCCCGGTGTTGGCCAAGAAAGTATTCGGGATTTTTTAGCGCGGTTTCCGCTAAGGACCTGACAAGGACAGCCGTCTAGTCTTTCAGATGGTACAAAGAAATCCAGGCCCCGTATACACATTGACGTACACATAAAATAACCTTTGAATGTCGAAATTCGATATAAAAGTAGACCGTAGCGCCGCTTTATAGACATTTATAGACAAAATTTCCATCATTGCACAGTGCATGGCGTATGCCCGTTTTCGTCAGCCTTGTTGGTGCAGTAAAGTATTACGTTAAACCCAAATTCATTTTATTTCGCTATTAAATATTGTTATATTTAGCGATTATTAATATGCATTCGTCCCGGTTGGTTTGCGATTAAAAAAAGTACGGACGGTAACAACAACTACAGCGTCAGTAATCAGCTTTATGGGAGTGATTTGATATTTCTTTCTACTCGGAACTTATATCACTCGAACCATTGATGGAAGCATCAGGAATAATGATTTAGAGCAATTAGTTCCTCACCCCCTTCCATCGATAATTCCTTCTATTTCTATTCTTTGTAAACACCACGATCATTATGTTGCCCTCTTGTATGATTCATTCTTGAAAATACAATTTCCCTTTGATGTTTATTGTTTAGGTTGCTCAGCACATAACTTCTTTCATGATATGGCTGGTGCATATCCAACAACGACGTCTTGTATTGCTCAAAATCACGGATATACCAAAGGTATTTTCTCTACTCAGTAACTTATAAACCAAAGGTAAATGTCTGGTTAAAAATGGGGGGGGGGGGTCACGGTGGCTAAGTAGGTAAGACGCCGGCTCGCTAGCCTGGAGGTCGGGTGTTCGATCCCTGCATTGGCCGAGAAAGTTCATCCAGATGTTCCGGCGTTATTCCCCCTTGTCTGTGATGCAGGACGGAGGGCCTGACAAGGACAGTTGTCTAGTCGTTCGGATGGGACGAAACACCGAGGTCCCGTGTACACATTGGCGTGCATTTAAAAGATCCCTTTACATTTGGAATTCGATATAAGAGTAGGCCGTAGTGCCACTGTCTGGGCAAAATTTCCCTCATAGCACAATGTATGGCGTATGCCCGTCTTCATTAGCCCAGTTCGGAGCAGAACAGCAGGACGTTAAACTCCATTTCATTTTATTTTACTTCTGGTTAAAAATGTCAAGACGACATATTAATTTGTTCAGGTTATCAAAAATGATACAATTGGGGCACCAAATCAAATTTCTATAAAGAATGTTCTGTGTCCATTGTAAATTTTAGCCAGACGACATGTACGTCGTCAATTAATTTCATCTCCGTTACTTATATATGTTTTGAATTCAACAGGCATCGATTCATTTGCTATTTGCTGCAGTGCACCAAATTTCCACTGTATTACCGAAAAGTCCCGTCCCAGTGGTCTAGGTGTAGGTGATGAGGCAAAACTTGGTTGTCCGTCTGGATATACAATGACTGGGTGTCATGGTTTCTCAGAAGACGGGGGATTATCTGCTACCTTTATATACAGTAAGTATATCAAGCCAAATCCAACGCAATGCTGCCTTAAAGGGGGAGACACAAATATATTCTGTGTGCAAAGACATGTAGCATCATTTTAATATTATGTGAGTTCGGTTTACCAAATGTACCGATCATTTTCAAGCTTCAGGGGTAATTTGACTGTTTCGTCTAATTGTGACGTTTGATTTTCATACTTAAACCCACTTTAATCAACGGATATCCTGTGAATTCGAATATTCGACCTACCTAACAATAAGTAAAAATCTATGACTTGTGGGATTATTAGCTCAATTATGTCTTCGGATACATATAACTAGAAATTATTGCGTACAGTATCTGAATTGTTTTAATCCCGAACTTGACGTGTATTTATCTGGCTTATGCTTATCGAAATTTGAATTGTATTAAAGTTCCTTTGAATTGTATAAAAGTGTGTGTTACAGTTTGGTATTGTTGACAGAATTATATTAGCCAAATGTATTAGTTATGTAAGAAACAAATGTTATGTATTGGATTTTTCAGATAATGAATGTTCAACAAAGAATGGAGTTCAGAAATCACCGGGGATGAATGGTGTAACCGCCTATGCTACATGCTGTAAATAAATATGTTATACAAGCTGAAGTGTCAGATTGTTATTAGTTGAAAGAATGTAAATCAAACAAAGTATAGAGGAACGACAATTTTCAATCAAAGAATCTATCAAATTAAACTTCTAAATATTTTATTTTCGAATTCGTATATTATATGATCTGATGGAACTTGTAACAATATTGATTTAACTGAAGTCACAATGTTTTAAATTTTGAATTAGAATCCGGCTCCGTAACAACATCCCTTCAGGCGAGAATTCCTTGTTTATGTTTAACGTTTGCGTCCACGGTTGTGTTATCCCATGGATTAGTTTAGTTGGAATTTCTTCCTTGCATTTGGATAAAAATAACAACATTCGCATATGGTGACTTGGTACTTCAAATTAACAGAACACAGTTTTTATGGGATACAATCACTAGTTTATTCTAAAAGCACGACGTTTCGACAAGTATCCTCTTATCGTTTAGAATAAACTAGTGATTGTATCCCATAAAAACTGTGTTCTGTTAATTTGTTCCCTGATCGCTAAATGCCACTTAAAGAATTTGGTACTTCAAGTTTAGAAGGCGGTCTTTCACCCCCAATTTCGATAGAAGTTTACATATGTTTTCTGGGACGAGGGCTACTGCCATCTAGCAGAAATGTGTATGTATTCAAGTTTAAGAAGTTTTAATCCCCATATTGAACTGATCCTTCTTCTAACGATACATCAGAGTTGTTGTAGCCTTACGTTGCGAAATGGTATTGTATTCTTAAGGCATTCACTCGATGTATCGTTAGAAGAACGATCAGTTCAATATGGGGATAGTTACTACTTTTGTTGGGATATACTGTATTAACGCTTTATTTAAAACAGCTAAAAACCTTGCATAGACTTTATTGATATCATCATTATTAAAGACATGATTTGTCCAATCGACAGTTAATAATTCGTTATTTAAACCTTCATAATCTGCAAATTTATAATTTCTTATAGTCCTTTTGTATTTTAATTGTTTGTTTTAATTATAAGCGAAGAGATGGATATTTATAACATAACACGAGATATGATGTAAAATCACATATAAGGTATGTTGATTGTTCCGTTTGAGAGGCCAAATATCAATAATTTCAGTCGTGACTGTCGTTAAGTAATATTTTGCGTTCACATGTAAAATCAGAGCAATCAAACATATATTTATATCTATATAGGTATGTATCCATAGAGAGAGATGGCTTTAAATTAAAAGTTACTTTAAATATGAAATTGTTACATTTCCCACTCCAAGAGGTTTGATAAATGGAATACCGTCCAATTAATGGCGTTTGCACGGAATAATTTAAAATATACGAAACCAAACGTAAGTTGTCCAATTTCATCTTCATCAGCTAAATTATTGTTTTTAATTTAATGTGACGGAGTGAGAATAGGGGGGGGGGGGAATTATTTTGAGTTAGGCTAATGATAGAAGGGAGACAACTACAGTTTTTGCAAGGGTTGATAAGGCGAGATAGTTCCTTCCCAGAATGCATTGTGTTTGTCACCCATCCAGATCAATTAAACCTAAATCTAATGCCATCTGTTTTGTTTCTTTCCCCACAGTCTGAAACCTCACTCCTGATGAACCCTGTCTAAAGTCAGGATTATCCTTTTCTAATTCACGATCCCGGTAACATTTGGGGGCTTGTCCGGGATAGACAGGGCACCTACACCAGGTAAAGAGTGGATTCACCAATTTTCAACATGGACGAAACATTGTTTGACATTAGAAGAGATCTGTATCAGCTGTCATTACCAGAGCTAGTTACCATGGTGCCATCAAAAAAAAACCGACGACACATTTTTTAATGACACTGATGAGCTGGCAGAAAATTTAGATCGACTACAGAAGATTTTACCTGTAAAACCATGTCCGACAGGTATAGCTACCGCAACTGTTTCTGCTGAGAGGGACAAGAGACCAACACATCCTGATAAAAATAATGAAAACCCAGATCCATTTACTTCCAGTACACATATTGTTTCTTCAAAAGTTGAAGTGTGGAAGAGAAAATTTAAAATTCAGGGACAAATTAATGAAAGTAAGGGAATTTCATTTATGAGTGTGATTCGGCAAATTGATTTGGCAGGTCAAAAAGATTACTCTAATCATGGAATCGTTGAGGCAGTTTTAAAGGCAATGTTACCTGACTTTTATGTTCCTAATTACTTAGAGGGAAGACCATCTCTTAGCCTTAATGATTTGAGAGCTATCCTCAGAGCTCATTACCATGAAAAGTCAGGCAATGAACTCTTTCAAGAATTCAGTTCTGGTACACAAACAGAAAAAGAAGATCCACAAGAATTCTGAATAAAATGTATGGATCTCAGGCAGAAAAAAAAATCTTTGCATCGAAAGAATCGGGAAGTATGCCTTATGACTCTAAATTAGTTAATTCTATGTTTCTCAGAACTCTATCTACTGGTTTTATCTCAGAAGTTATCAGAACTGATCTAAAACCTTGTATTGACAGAGAAGTAAACAGATTCTTTTGACAGAATTGACAGTCATATCATGACTGTAGTGAAAATGAACAGAATGAGCCCAATAATAATGGTGTATCGGAAAGTCACACACACAATAAATTGTCCACAGAACTTAGTAATCTCAGAGCAGAAGTAGCTGCTTTAACCCATGCTTTCCAGTCTAATTGGCCTAGGGGTTTTTGTCAGCGTAAGATAGGTTGTGCATCTTGTAGAAACTAGCAAAAGTCATCTTTGACACTGTTGGACATGTGGAAGTTCAGAGCATTTTAAGAATTTCCATAAGTCTCCAAAACAAACTACCCAGTGGGAAAACTAGGTGGAGTCACTGGAAAGGGGTCTTGTGACTCAAAATAGCGACTCTCCTAGTTGTTCAAAGTGTGGTGTAGAAAAAGATTTGAACTTATGTTCTGCATGTAATATTTCGTATTATTGTTCTAAAAATTGTCAAAAATCACATTACAACGTCCATAAGATTATTTGTAACAAAATCAAAGAATTATCTGTTAATAGTATTAATAGTAATAATAGCTCACCTGATTTAAAGGGACATGTTATGTGATAAGAATAAAATAATTCAGTTAGTAGGAGAAGTCTGTAATGTAAATTGTCTTCTTAATGGTAAATCATTTAACGTTTTATGGGATACTGGCTCTCAAGTATGTTTAGTGAGTAAAAATTGGTTAAATACACATTTTCCGGATTCTGTTATTAAAAATGTGCATGCATGAGTTAGCAATGGTCTTAGTGTTAGTGCTACGAATGGGTCTGACATACCCTTTGAGGGTTGGACTGAGCTTACGTTTCAATTAAATTTAAATTCTGAAATCAATGTTCCATTTTTAGTTACTCAGTATAATAATATGAATTGTCCGATAATTGGTTACAATCTTATAAAATACTATTGTCAACAATTGAAGAAACGTTGTATAATTGTATCCCAACTTTAAATGTGCGTTGTATTAATAAGCTTGTGAAATTGTTGAAAGCAGATAAACCAATATGTAATGTAAATAGTGGTCATCGAGACATTGTAATTCCCGCCAAAGGTTCTAAAGTAATTCGTGTAGGTATACGGGCGGGGACTAAGAGTAATAATTAAATTATAAATTGTTTGTTTGTACCCACTTTAGAATTTTCAGGAAAGCAAGAATTGGAATTACAAGAGTTGTTAGTGACAGTTGGAATACAGAATCATAATCTGCTTGTAACTAATTCAAGTTGTTCTAATGTTGTTTTACATAGTAAATCGTATATGGGTACATTGCAGATTATCAATTCCATAACACGAGCTTATACTCAAGATTAGAATGAATCAACTTCAGTAAAAACGTGTAACATTTAATTTGCTAACACTCCCTCTTTTGACCTTAGTGAAAGTAATTTGAAAGAATCCGAAAAGTCACTTTTAAGCAGACACTCAGACGTGTTTTCTAAGTCTGATGATGATATTGGTTTTAACCCAAACTTGGAGTTGGATATACAGTTGAAAGACCAAATTCCAGTGAAGCAAGCTTACATATCTATTCCAGCACCACTTTAAGACGAAGTTAAAGATTATATAAACAATCTGATCGCTAAAGGCTATATTTGTAAATCTAAATCACCGTACTCTAGTCCATTGGTTTGTGTAAGGAAGACCGTCATTGACAGCAGTCCATTACCAAGAATCCAAGATGCCCTGGATAGTTTAGGGGCAGCCGCTACTTTTCTCTATTGGATCAAGGTAATGCATACACTGCATTCGTCACGCCATGGAGACACTATTCCTGGGAACGGATTCAATTTGGAGCTCCAGTCGCCTTCCAATCCTTTATGAACGAAGGCCTTACTTGGATGATATTTTAGTGTATTTTTCAGAGCACATCCAACATTTGAGCCTTGTAATTGAACGACTGAAATCAAAAGGAGTTAAACTCAAACCACAGAAGTGTCTAATGTTCCGTCAACAGGTTCGTTATCTTGGACATCTTGTAACAGCAGACGGATATACATAAGAAATCTGTGAGAGAATTGAGAGAGAAAGTACCCAAAAATGTTGGTGACCGCAGGAAACTATTAGGGTTCCCCAGCTATTACCGCCGGTATATCCCCGATTTTGCGAGGTGTGCCAAACCATTGTACAATTTGTTACCTTTAAAACCAGGAAGTAATATGAAGAAGGCAAAGGGAGGACATGCTTCATCCAGTGTGAGGATCGTTTGGAATACTGCACACCAGAATATTATTGATGAGTTGGTTGAAGTTTTTATAACTCCACCCATCATGGCGTAACCACGTTTCGACCAAACCTTTTCTCTTCATGTTGATGCACGTTTAGACGGCTTAGGAGCTATTCTTTACCAAGATGATGATGGACAACAGCCCGCTGAGTTATTTAATGAATACTCCACGATTGGACGCAACCAGATTAAGATGGGTTGCCGAGTTATCAGATTTTAACTTTACCATAAAAAACAAGCCAGGAAGATTGAATAACGATGCTGATGAGTTGAGTCGAT